AATGGAAGCACCATCGAGGTGCTAACGTGACTTGGGAAGCGGAAGGAGATATGATTAGGCGCTACCCCCACCTCTTCGCGTAAGCTCCAATTTTGAGGACGAAATAAAGTTCAAGTTGGGGAGTGTTGTAACACCCCGAAATTCTCTTTCGTTCCGCTACGAGGTATTCTATTATTTTCTCTTATTCTTGAATATTTTATGTATATATATATATTTATATATATGTATATATATATATTATAAATATGTATATGCTGGTGTGGTTTTCTTAAAGAAATAAATAAATTGGTGAAAAGGGGGGGGTACTACCTATGGCACTTTGGACCATACCCTTAGCTTGYCACCTCATGCATGGAGGTCCTTACCTCTTTTGAGTATTGTCAGGATGAGTCAGAGAGAGAGGCATGCTCTAACCCTTCCCCCTAGCTCTCTTTGACCGGCCAAGAAAGAAAGAAAAAAAGAAAGAAACAAGCAGAGTTTTTCCCCCCCAAGTTCTTTGAACCTTAACCCTCTGCCCTGCACAAACCCACGACCTGCTGCCGTTCCTCCTCCTCGCCGGCAACCTGCTGCCTTCTTCTTCCAGTCGCTGTTGCTGCTGCCGTCCTCCTCCCTGCACCGCCGCTGCTTGCCGTCCTTCATCTCCACCGTCAACAGCCAGCAGCCGAGCCGAAGACAGCAGCTCAAACCGCTGCTGTGCTTCGTTCTTCGCCTTCGTCGTCGGAAGCTTTCGTGAGTTCATCTTTCTCCGGTTATGTTTTATTACTCCTCAAAACACTATAGGCTTGGATCCAATTTCTTAACATGATAAGGATACCTTTAATATATATATATTGTTATGAGGTTAATATTAGATAATACCTTTAATATATATATTGTTATGAGGTTAATATTAGATAATACCTTTAATTTATATATTGTTATGAGGTTAATATTAGATGATACCTTGAATATATATATTGCCATGAGATTAGTATTAGATGATACCTTGAATATATATATTGCCATGAGATTAATATTAGATGATACCTTTTAATATATAATGTCATGAGACTTATGTTAGTTGATGAGGATTTATTTGTTGTCTAAGAAAATGTCAATTATGATGAGAAAGTTATGTGAAAAGCCTACTAATGGGTCGTATTAAGACGTGCATAACTCGAAGAAAAGTTAGTGTATGGGTCGTCGTATACGTGCCTTCTTATATCTAGAAATTGTAGGCGGTCTATGTAGAGAACTCTATTACCTTTGATTTATGTCCGATGATTTGCTAATGATAGTAGTGGCGTACTTGTTATATTGGTAGACTCATCT